AGGGACTCCATTCGTTCTCTCAGCCGTTGTTTATGGGTACTGACTGTGGCCCAAGCATCGCCCTCGGTGTTAGGGATTCAGTCCTGAACGAACAAGGTTCCTGCCCCCGTGGAACTTCCATTACAGCTGGGGGAGACAAACCATAAGCAGACGGACAATTCCATCTCAGAGTGGGAGAGCCATGGAGAAAGATGAGTTAGGAAGGAGGCCCCGTGATGGGTGAGGGAGACCCTAGCTAGAGGGGTGGGGGTGGGTTAGAGACCCGAGGGAAGCCAGCAGTGGGCCATGAGGACGTGATGGGGAGGAGGCTTCCTGCAGCGGGAACAGTGTGTGCAGAGGCCCCGTGGTCGGGCTGTGCGAGGTCCGCTCGGGGACCCATGTGGGGGTGGGAGGAGATGAGGTCGGAAAGATGAGAGTGGGGGGTGCTGGGTGGTGGCGGGGGCGTTCGGGCAGAGGAGAACGACCTGACGTGCGCTGCTGGGGAAGGCTGGGGGCGATGCGGTGGCAGAGGAGACAGGCAGAGGTGGTTGCCGTGGTGTGAAGGAGACGGGAGGTCCTGGCTGCCTCGGCCACGGTGGTTCTAAGCACGCTGTCCTTAGACACCTCTCCTCTCCCCCTCCTCCAGCGCTGGCTCCCAGCGGCCCTGCCTCGTGTCGGGCCTTCCCTCTGCTCTGGGGAGGCGGGCTGGCTGCCTCTCTGCCCGGGCCCCGGAGCTGCTCTTGTTCCGGACGGTCTCGTCCTTCGGTCTCTGCGTTCTCAGCCCTGTGCTCGTTGGACACTGACTGAAGATCCATGCATGCTGTGTTTGTCCTACTGGGTCCTCAAGTTTCACTTTCGACACCTGCAGAAATACCTGCTTTATGTGTAATCTGCTCAATTACATCTCATTGTTACCTTTTATTTTTTCCAAGCAAGAGGTACCACTCCCACTTGGCTTCTCGGTGCATTTAGATTCTGTTTGCTGACATGGGGAAATTAAGCTGTGTTACTAGAGCCATTGAAATCCTGGCTTTCTCTCGAAAGCATGAAGGTTGTGGCCTCTGTGTCTACACGGAAGTGGTGCCCATGAGCCCCTCTGATAGGTGTCTGTGGGTCGGCTCTGGGAAACGTGGGAGCCATGTATGTGACGGGGGTTCTAGCGAATCAGGGAGGGCTCTTTTCTGCAAACTTCAGCAGAAAAGGAATTGACCAGAAGCAAGTTTATGGGATCAGGTTGAACTGAAGGACTGGCTTTAAAAGGCCAGGAGCTCAGGTAACTCTAGGGACGCGGTCTCTTGGCAAGATCTGTTCAAAGTCTCTGGGACCCCACCAGGATGGGCACTGTGTATGTGCCCAGTTGTGTCCGACACTTTTGACTCCATGGACTATAGCCTGCCAGGCTCCTCTGTCCATGGGATTCTCCAGGCAAGAACATGGGAGTGGGCTTCCATTTCCTATGCCAGGGGATCTACCCAACCTAGGGGTTGAACCCACATCTCTTAATTCTCCTTCATTGGCAGGCAGGTTCTTTACCACTTGCACCACCAGGGTGGGCATCCCCAGCTTTTAAGGACCAGGCAGGATGGAATTCCATGTCCTGGGAGAGACGGATCTAACTGAGGGGGCTTTGAGTGTGTGACCAGTCCAGGCTTGGGGGCATTTGGAACTTTGTGATCAGTAGTCCCACCAAGACTGGATTTTGGAATGGAAGATCGGTCCTGGACAGGAATTTGGGGTGCTGGTGTCAGAAGAAGAGCGGCTGGGCATGTGGCCACTATAAACAGCTAATGTCCCCTCAGAGGATCTCAAAGATGTGTGAGCCACATCCTTCAAGATGCTAAAGGCAGTGGGTGGTGCCTTACGGAATATTAGAGAACAGGACCAAATTTCTCCAGGCGAATGAAGGAGCAGAGGTCAGGGTGGACAGAGATTGAGGGGCTGCGGGAGGTTGTGGGAACCCTGAATCTGGGTGGTCTTGAGTTGGAGGGGTGAGTGTGGGGAAAGGTGTTCTGAGCGAGGCTCACCGCTTGGGTTAAGTCTCAGAGGCGGGGATGTGCCTGCTGCATTTAGTGGAGGCGGAGACCAGCTGGTGATTCACACGCTGGTGGGGAGCGGGGAGTGTGGCTGGAGCTGCAGGTGGAGGGTGGAACTGATTAGCAGGTGAGGGAGGGTGACTGGCTGGCCGGGGTGGGAGTGGGTTTTGAGGATTCGTAGGTACACTGGTTTATGGGGGACCTGGGGGCTCAGACAGTGAAGAGACCACCTGTGATGCAGGAGACTCAGGTTTGACACCTGGGTCAGGAAGCTCCCTTAGAGAAGGGAGTGGCTTCCCACTCCAGTGTTCCTGACTGGAGAATCCCAGGGACAGAGGAGTCTGGTGGGCTGCAGTCCCTGGGGTTGTAAAGAGTCAGACCCGACTCTTGCCTGTGTGCCTGACACTCTGCCAAGTGCTCTGTGTGGCTTTGTCTAGCCTGCACGGCAAGATGACCCAATAGGGCTGCTGTCCCTCCTGCCTGCAGCTGGAGAGACGGGGCTCAGAGAGGTTAAGTGAGTTCGCCGAGGCCGCACAGCGAGCAAGTACCAGAGAGGGGATCTGAGCCAGGCCCAGCCGATGTTCTCTGCTCACCTGGGCTGCAGCCATCAGCTGTGAAGTTGGGGGCTGCCTGGCCGCCTGTCCTGGGCTGTGGCCCCACTGTTCCCCCCAGCCTCTTCTTCCTCCGTGTCCTAGACAGCAGTGGGCACGGCCGTGGGCCAGCAGGGGTGGTGGGAGACGGGGGTTGGGGAGGGTCTGAGGAGACATTCTCCCTCTTTCTGCAGAGCTTTCCCTTCTCCTCCCCTGCTCCCTGCAAAGAGATGGAGCGAAGCTGGCAAAGTTGGAGTCAGCAGAAAAATCTAATTTTTACCTTAGACGCGTTTATAGCTGACAGATATTAGCCCAGCATCTTGGCTCTCCTTCCAGACAGGTCTGAGCTGAGTCCTGCCGTGCATGTTGGGAGACCAGCTTTGTCATGAATCTACCGTTGCATTTTAGGCACAGTGTTTTTCCTCTGTAGGTCTTGGTGTTTCTACCAGTAAAATGGGGGTGCGGGTCCTCGAGTGGGATGTCACAAATTCAGCAGCCTGCAGGGACCCTCCGGAAGAGATAAAGTGTGAAGAACATGCTGGGGACATGAGGGACCCTCCAGGAGAGAGAAGGTGTGCAGGATGCCGAGGACAGGGGCCTGCCTGCAGGGACGGTCCCTCGTCAGCGCCAGCTGGGTGCTGCTACCTAGGGCTGCTACCACCCAGTCTTTAGATTCTTTTCCAAAAAAGGCAGAACTCTGAATTGTGCTGGAAAAAGATTTCAAATTTTAAATGCTAGCAACTTAATTAGAAATTTTGTGGAAGCCAGTAATAGCGGCTCCATGGTCTGATCCTGGCCTGTGGGTTGCTAGCTTGCAGTGCCTGGGCTGTTTTGTTTGGGTTTCTTCTAGCTGGCTGAGATACGGCTCCATTTAATATGCATATAAATAAAAATCAAATGTTTGCCTTCCAGATATATTGATTTGTATTTATGGATGAGCTCTGTGGTTTATAATGTGCATCTAAGCTCAGAGTTAATAATGGGGCAGAAACCTCGTTGAGAAACTTTAATCTCAGATTAGGGACCCATGTGTCTGGACCTCCCTCTGGAGTACTTCCGCCTCTAACGCCTGTCTTTAATCCTTCCTGATGCAGATGTAGCCTAGCCTAGTTTCCATGGCAACAGAGCATGCTAGCGTCTCCCCTCATCCTATATTCACAGCGAAGAGTGGGGAGGGAGGCCTTGAGATTTCCATAACCTGGACAGCGGTCCCAGGGACTTCTGCTTTCTGCTTCTGGGAGACCGTGGGCAGGATGGGTTTATTCTAAGCCAGTGGGCAGCCCGAGAGCAAGATTGATTGGCTCTCGTAAAGTTTTAGAGACCTCTGGTGAGAGCTGCTGACTTTATCACATTTGCTGCTGTCCCTGGACTGGAGGGATCGATTTTTTTTTCTTTTAGTATCCAGAGAGCAGTGGGTTTATAGGCCCGTTTAAGGGTGGACTCGGGAACGACCGCAGAGAGCCACAAGGGTTAGACGAGGTTTCGGGGTCGCAGTGGCCCATGAGCTGACCAGGTGCTCTGGTCATTCCCGCGAGGCACAGTGAGAGCCAGGAGGGCCGGTGGGTGCGGGGCAGATGCGCCACGGTCCGCGGCGTGTGACAAACGCCAGCCCCGGGCTCCGATGAGACGAGGGGCGTGGGCGCGACGCAGACACGGTCACCTTGTCTGGGTCCCAGGCTGCGCTCCGCCCCCGAGAGGCAGCTGGGCGATTGAGCTCCTGCTTGTTGTCTGTGAAGTGAAGGTCGCAGTCGTCAGCTCCTCGTGGGTTATGCTGAGGACTGAGATGGTACGTGTAAAGCATCTAGAATAAGAACCTGCAAACTGTTCCTGTAAAGGTTCCAGATAGTAAACATTTGAGCCTTTTTGGGCCTTGGAGTCTTTGCCAAACTCTTCAGCTCTGCCGTAGTAACTTGAAAGCAGCTGTAGCCAATATGTAAATGATGGACGGGGCTGTGTTCCAATAAAACTTTATTTTTATAGACACTGGAATTTGAATTTCATATACTTGCCATGTGTCACCGGGGAGTCCTCTTTTTCCGATTCCCTCTAAACATGCAAAACCCATTCTTGGCTCACAAGCCATACATGTAAAAACAGACAGGCGGGCAGATTTGGCCCACGGGCCAGAGTTTGCTGATTCTTGATGTAGAATAATGCCTATTATATGTTTGTTAAATGTTAGTCACTGAAATTATCTTTATCTTCTTCATTATCCTTTTCATCCCTGGAGGGTGGGTTAAAGGCAGTAAAATATTTGGCCCAGAAAGAGCCGTGGGGAGCCAGGGTGCATGGTGACTGTACTCAGGGAAGGACGACGGAGTTTGTCCCCACAGCCCCGTGGGGTGTCCTCTGGCTCTGATGACTTTTTGGATCTGAGGCCTCCAGCAGTTCGAGGTACCTACAGTTGGAGCAGAGTGCCTTGGGCGTGGTGGGTTCCTGCCCCCAGAAGTGCCCAAGCAGAGGCCGGATGCCCCTGCCATCCTGCTGTGGGGTCTGGTCACTGGGAATGGACGCGGAGGCGCTGGGGTCTGAGCTGGGTTCCTGCAGCTCTGGCCAGCGACAGGGGAGGTCGGGCAGGTTCCCCTTCTTCCAGGTCCCCTTTCCTGATCTCAGAGCACCTTGCCCTCTTGCTTCTTGAGTAATCTGGACCTGGCATTGCTCCTCTTTAACAGGAGAGAGCTGGGGGGATAGAGGATGAGCTGGCCACATGGCCAGGCCTGCCAGCTAGGTGGGGTGGGAGGCAGGGGGGCAGGACGGGAGCCAAGACTGTGGTCACGGAGCTGGCTCAGACCCCGGCGCTGCAGCTTCTTACCTGTGTGAGCCTCTCTGAGCCTCAGTTTCCCCATCTATGAAGTGGAAGTGTATTACCTCCTTGACAAGGTGGTCACGAGGCTGAAATGGGTGGTGGTTGTCCAGTCGCCCAGTCATGTCCGACTCTTTGCCGACTGTTTGCAGCCCCGTGGACTGCAGCACGCCAGACCTCTGCCGCTCACCGTGAAATGAGTGAGCGCACGTGAAATGCAGCGTCCCCGCTGACGGACGGTCGGGGCTCCAGCTCTGCCCTCCTGTCCACCCTGGGCCCAGGCTGCTGGGGTGTCCTGGGAGGGTCAGGGAGGAGCTGCCGTTCGGGACGTGGCCGCTCCACTGTGGTTGGCTGTGTCAGTCCTCTCTTGGCCTTGCGTGCCGGCATCTTCAGGGCGCGTGGTAGGGATGGGTGGTAGGGATGAAGGGCCTCCAGCCCAGCGCAAACCTCTCTGGGCCCACAGGGCAGTGGGGCTGAGTCTGGGGCAGAGAAACTGACTGAGTCAAGGGTGACGGCGGATGGGTCTGCTGGGTGGGAGGTCCCGGGGTTCATGCGCTGGGCCCCCTGCACGCGCGACTCCCATGGGGGAGTCCATGAATCCTCAGCTGCTCAGTGAGGGGTGTTTTACCCCATCATGTGGATGCACATGTTGAGGCTGAGCCCAGATACCCCTCTAGGGCCGCAGAAGAGCAAGGGAGAGCTGAGATTTGAATCTGGGTCTGGCAGCAAGAGCCTGCACCTGCCAACCCGGCATCCGCACCCATGTCCATCTTTCAGCTGCCGCTGGAGTTTACGGGGGCCTGGTAGTGAGTGTAGCCACCGTTGTGGGGGTGGCGACAGTGCCCCAGGCATTGAGCTAAGCAGCAGTGTGAAAGAGTCGCTGGTCTGCTATGCTGACTGACTTCATAATCGCCACAATCACTCTGGGCTGTTCCCATTGTGCAGCTGGGAACGAGGTGTGGGGAGGAGGTCATAGCCTGCTGGGGTGCAGAGTGGAGCGGTAGAGCTGGGCTGAGCTCTGCAGCCTCTCCTCACTTGGCTGTCCTGCTGTCACTGGGCACGGGACAGGTGAGCCGCCAACATAAAAACCCAAGGCTGCGGCCAGCGCGACTTTACTGGTGAGTCTTGACCCGCCCTGGGCGTCATGTGCCCGCCTGTGACGGGCACGTGATCCCCATCCTGCTGTTGCCTCACAGGATGGTTTGTGCATGAGAAGAGCCACCCCTTCTCTGTAACAGACCCTTCGATTGCCTCAATACCATCGTGCTACATGAAGTCACACAATAAAATCCACAGGGCTTACGGGGAAATGGGGTTAAGAGCACAACAGTCAAGCGCATAAAAAATAGAAATCGAATGAAACGGCAGCCGTGTTTTGTCCGCGGTTAAGGTTAGGGAACACATGGATGTTAAGCTAATAAGCACGGCACTTCATCTCGAAGGACACCTGGCGTTTGCTCGTGGGCGTGTGTGCCATCCTGCCTGCTGTCCTCCCACCCACGAGGTTGCACGCCTGCCACCAGCGCGCAGGAGGAAGGAAAATGAAAGCAGATGCCGAAAGAGAAAGGCAAGAGAATGGAGAGAAAAACATAAACTGGGCCAAAGGGAGGGAGTGGGGAGGGCGCGAGGGGCCCTGGGAAGCGATGGGAGGGAGGCTGTGGCCCCGGCTGTGGGTGGCCTCGTGATCTAGTGAGGTGCACGGCCTGTCCTCCTACCTGGCTCAGCGGGGTAGGTGTTCTACCCGCTGTTTCTTGTGCGTGAAATCTTGTGGAAGCAAATGTAAAATCTGCACGATGCTCAAATTGTCCCCTAATACAGGGATTGCTCTGGAACAGATTTGCGTTTTCCGAACAAGCGCTCTAGCCGAATTGGCCAGACTTTGAAAAGTTGGGTGTTAGGAGGCATGGGAGGGGCTCCTAAATAGGGACTTCCTTACAAGTGTTGCCTGCCCCCAGGTGGGGGGCTGGCGCTTTGCAGTTCAAGGCTGGGGTGGCCCGGGGGCTTGAGTGAGGTTGCGCCTCCCCTAACATCTGTCTCCCCTGTGACTCCCGTCAGCTGGTTTCTCAGATCTCAAGGTGCCACACGGGGGCCCCTGCTAAGTCCAGCCCCCTCACGCATCCCCAGCTTCCCGGAGCCTCAGCCGGGAGGCTGGCGCACCCGGGGCCCGGGGCTTTTCTCCAGTCAGGCCCAGGCCTGCAGCGGTCTGCTTTCCTTAGCAGCAGAGCCCACCACGGGGCCTCCACGTGGGCAGTGAGGTCTGGGACGTGGCTCCTCCTTGGAGCGAAGAGGGAGGAGAGAGCACAGAAGGATTGCCCAGAATTTATTAGTCTAATTACATTTTCCTGATGTGGTTGACCCCCGTGCGCAGCAGTGTGCTTATCCAGGCCGCAATCACACCAGCCTTATTGGAGTTTTAATGAGAGTCAGCCGGTTATTGTCCTTGTCGCAGCGGACACTGTAGGCGTAACCCCCTCAAGCCCCTTGGGGAGGCAGCAGGCTTGCTTTCTTGGCCAGAATATTATTTTCATTAATAGCAAGGATTAGGCTCCGGCTTTACGTGTTCAGGAGAAGCAGACTTCGTTCAGGCAGCTTCCTGCCACCAGCTGGGTGCCTGCTGGCGCCCCCTGAGGTCAGGAGAGTCCTGGGCTGGAGTTTGGAAGAGTCTGGGGCCGGGGTTCACTGCTCCCCGCAGCCTGCTGCGTGAGCTCTTCAGGCGCGTGGTCGCACCTCGCCGGTCCCTCATTGACGCGAGAGCCCTTCACAGTGGCAGTGAAGTGAGAATGCTCGGAAAGCACTTTCTCTCAGGTGCGAACGGGTGCTGGCTGTCTCAGAAATGGCTGAGCAAAGGGGTAGCTCAGCCCCACTCACACGCGTGTATTTGTGCCTGAAAGTCTCGCAGCGTTGTATCTGGAATGAGCTTTTCTAGACTGCTGGTTTCTGTCCTAGTTTGCGCCATTTGGGGAGTGGTCTTGCTTGGAGGAGAAAAGAGACGGTGTCCCAGGGGTTCTGTGTGGCTCTGGGCGCCCTTCTCAGCCTCTCTGCGCCCAGCTCTCCCTGCCTGTGAGATGGAGGTAGGAGGAGGATCTCTCCCACAGTGTTAATGGGAGATTAAATGAAGTGGCAGTGCAACGTGGGAGCACAGTGCTTGGCCCATGCTGGTTGCTGGGGGATTGCCAGGGTTTTGAAGCTTCCATTTTCCGGTTAGTGACGCCGCCTTTTAGGGTGATGGAGAGGGTGTGGTGCAGCCGTGTCGCCGCCTTTTAGGGTGATGGAGAGGGTGTGGTGCAGCCGTGTCGCTGCCTTTTAGGGTGATGGAGAGGGTGTGGTGCAGCCGTGTCGCCGCCTTTTAGGGTGATGGAGAGGGTGTGGTGCAGCCGTGACGCCGCCTTTTAGGGTGATGGAGAGGGTGTGGTGCAGCTGTGTCTGTGTGGCGCCTGGCACGTTGAGAGTAGTCAGAGGTGGGGGTCCCTTCTCACAAGGACCCCAGAGGTGTCTCTTCATCCGTTTTCACAGACAAGCACTATCTGAGGTGCAGACTGCAGGCTGCAGATGGGGACTTAAAGTCTGGGATTCTCTGAGTCCCAGACCTGGGCTCATTTGGCTCCGGGGGCTGGGGGGGGGCAGTAGGGGGCTTTCATGAGCAAAGGCTCAGCGGCCTTGCAGATAGTGGCTTCCTGTATTGGTCCTGGTCTTGCATTTCCCCCTTTGGGCAAAGGGGACACTCTTCCCAGCTGAGCAGCTGTGGTGCCCTTGGTCTCAGCCACCCTGGGCATCTTGGTTTATTGCTGATTGAGAGCTGTACCAAGGCAGGGGTGTGGACTGCCTGGCCCACTGCTACGTCTTCAGGGCCAGACACAGTTCCTGGTACCTAGTAGGTACTCAGTAAATGTCAGACAGACAGGCACCCTGCTGATGTGGAGCTTCCGGGATGTTGGATGGCCGTCAGTTTAAAGGGGGAAGATGCAGCAGGGAGTGGGACTGGGATTCCGGAGAGCATTTCAGGAAGCTTCCGATTTTAACTCCCCAGGGGCCGACGAAGAGCCACTGAGAGGGTGCCGTCTGAGTCGAGGCTCCAGAGCGGGGAGGGCGCAAACCGTGCGGCTGTCGGGGGGAGGCGGTTCAAGCAGTAGGGGCAGGAAGCGCAGAGGTCCCGAGGCAGGCGCGTGCCTTAGCGCGTTTGAGGAGCACGTGGGGCCGGGGATCCTGGGGTGCAGTGAGCGGGGTGACGTCAGAGCCCTCCCTGCTTAGACAGCTGCTGGGGGCACCAGACGGCTTCAGGGGGCGCTCGTGGTAAAGAACCTGCTTGCCAGTACAGGTGGATGTAACCGACGCGGGTGTGGTCCCTGGGTTGGGAAGACCCCCTGGGGAAGGGCATGGCCACCCACTCTGGTATTCTTGCCTGGAGAATCCAATGGACAGAGGAGCCTGGCGGCCACAGCCCAGAGGGCTGCAAAAAGTCCAACACGATTGAAGCAGCTTCGCGTGCTTGGGAGCACGGACTGAGTGGTGATGGCGGCAGTCGGTTCCCAGGGCAGCTGGAAGGAGGCTGAGGAGCACCTCCTGGGAGTCTCCTGCCAGCATCTTCATCCAGTCTCTGGGGACAGGCGTCCCCTCTCCCCTCGTGGGGTGTGCCCGCCTTGTCATTCTCAGCCTTCTCCTTTGACACAGCCTCTAGCCACCATTTTAAAACAATCTGATTCATATGTGGGCCCGTTGGCCCTGGAGCCTGGGAGTGAGGAGAGAGAA